CGGCCCGGCCCGGCCTCCCCGCAGAGTCCCGCTGATTCCCGCATTCCTCCCCTTAGGCACTTACCCCTTCCTTTTGTAGTGGATGAGGACTAATCATATAAATATATATGTTTTTAAAGCCGTATCTTATCTTTGGCAGGCCTGTAAATGATCGCCGTGCTGGAAAACATCTTACAAATCTAACCAAACTTGCATTTTTAACTTTATTTAACAGCTTCCTGATTTTTTTTTAACCGTCCATAGTTTGGCTGTTTTCTTTTTCAGTTTCTATGCTCACAGTGAAAAAGGATTTTATTTCCCAGAGGAACGTTTAATTACAAACAATTTTTTCTTTTTTTTTTGCTGTTTTAAAAATAGCTTTGGCAGTTGTTCTTGCACACTCCTTAAGGAAAAGAAAATGTTCTGTCTGCCTGCTGGTAAGGGGAAATGCCAAAGCTTCCGAAGCAAAGTCGGCAGGAACACTTAAATGCAGCTTTGCATTATTTTTGACTCTGCTCAAGGACAACAAACAGTGGTTACTGATAAAATTTTTGCAGGATCACGTGCCAGCTGCACCGTTTAATATCTCATTAATGATCAATCTGGTATGCAGGTTAGAGATAGTAGACAGTAAATAGTAAGATCTGCCTAAAATGCTTTGCCAAGCTTCCCTAATTTCAGTAAAGGAATTAAGTCTTTGTAAATGCTACTGTTTTACTTTGCCTATATTTTTATAAGGTTTTACATTCCACGGATCTCTAAAATGTATTTTTTTTTCATAATAATCATGCAGCTCTCTTTAAACACAGAGTATCCGGCTCTTTTCACTTTGCTAATCTGCGTTTGTGATGACTTTTCAATGTAGGTTTTGCAGGAAGTGCTTCTTGACAGCTATCAGAGAAAGTGGAACACATTGTCCTCTCTGCCGGGGGAGTGTGACTAAAAAGGAAAGATCATATCCCAAAAGGGCTCTAGATGTTGAAAACAATATGAAGAAAGCTTCGGGGGGATGTAGATGCTGTGAAAAGCAGGTAGAGTAAAACTTTATAAACGGTTGAGCAAATATTTCTTTCATTTGACCTGATTCTGCACTCACTTAGGTGTCTTTCATGCCAGTCTATAGCAGTTTGCAGAATTTGCTTTGCATGGTTTGTGCCTGTACTAGGCATACAATGCCTACCAGGCCTCTCCAACAGGTATAAGCTGAAGGAGAATAGTGGCTTGTCTATAACTGCACTTACTACTGTTGGTTAGTGGAATGTCAAAATTCCTCCAAAGCAATGAGAAAAATGAATGAAAACAGAGCTCCTTTGTTTCACTTCGCCCATGAGGATGGAAAAGCTTGGAGAAAGAAACAGTAACAAGTTGGTAAATGGGAAGGATGAACAAAACAGGTCCCCAAAAGAATTTGAATAGATTTTAGGTGCAAACCAATAAGATGGGGTCTTGTCCAGATGGCTTCTAGACCCACAGGCACTGTCTGACAGTGCGATTGGACCTGAAATTCTGATCAGGGGCCTGTCCAGGGCAGCTGTGTCTGGGTGATCTGAGCAGCTCAGTCTCGTGTCACTGGCTCTACCCCGGCCCCTTTAAGTTACATATTCTGAGAACACTCCCAATGCAGAGAGACTGGTCTCTGCACACAGCAAGAGCATCCTAGAGAACACTGAGGGAGCAGGGGTGCTTATCCCACTCTCCAAACCTACCTTCCTGTGCCCAGAGCTCATCAGTTACTTGCCCTGTAAGCAGGAGGTGAAGTTGCCATGACTTTTCAGTCAAATGGATTTTAAACACTTTTTTTTTTGTTTCGGCTATGGAGGCAGAACTCTCTGCTGCTTGGCCGTTTAGTGTTCTTTGTTTTTACACAGTGGTAGAGCCTGCAGAAAAAGGAATTAAAAATTCCTTGTTTGGGAAGAAAGTGCTCATCCAGAGAGGGAGACATCAGTCCTAACTTCTGCTGTGTGTGATGTCTAGAAAGAGCCCTGCATGCGTTGTTTTCTGTTGGCAAATTTGCTTCTTCCTATCCTTGGATTGCTTAGTATAATTTCATTAATTTGACATTTCGTTTGCAGGTTAGATTTTCGTGGATGAGGCAGCATTATAAAACGTGTAAGAAGTATCAGGATGAATATGGTGCTTCTTCTATTATACCAAACTTACAGATTTCGCAAGACTCATCAGGGAACAGGTAATCAGGGTGTTTTATGTATAGCAAAGTATCTTCCTTTTTTTTTTTTTTTCTTTTCCTAAAAGGAAAGTGTTTTATTTTCCAGGACATACCTTTTCACCCCCTCCTCCCCCCCCCCAGTAATTATTGTCTGTACTTCGATGTGTCAACAAATGACAATTTTTCCAGATTCTTCCTCCCTCTTGGCATACAGAAGAAAACTTTTCCGGATGGTGGTTTGGAGAATCTTCTAGGGAATCTTCTAAAGATTCTATAATATTTCCACCATTTTTTTTCTTCTCCTTGCTTCCACAGCATTTGAGCAGTTTGCTTTGGAATACAGATTTCATTGTATTTAGCACCAGGGAAGTTCCCTTCTTATCCCTTTATCCCCTTCCCTCCCCCTTCCAAATCTGTTTTAGCAGGTATCCTGTTGCAAACCACTACTGTGCAAACTTTTGATTTCAGACTGAATTTACTTTAAACTGATCTTTCATGAAATGTGTAAGAAAATCCAGGAAGTTATATACCATAAAATCAAGTGCCACTTACCCATTTGTTTTCAGACTATAAAGCTGAAGAACTCTGTTCTTGATGCTTTCTGACTGATACATTTCTAAGATTGCTTTTTCTTTGTTTTTATGAAGACCTTATTTTACATATAAGTTTCACAGAGCTTTGTTATATATAGCTTATGCTTTATTTGCTACGTGTTGCTATTTTTGTTTTGTTTTGGCAGACTGAACTTTTGCATGTTTGTGGTTTCAACCCAACAATATGCTGAAAATGGAATTTTGAGCTGTTGTCAGAACTAGTTGCTGTGATGTTTGTCTGCAGTATCTGGATATTGTTATATAGCTACCCACTGAGTGTGCCCCAGTGGACTTCTTGTAACATCACAGTGCCTTTCTGTATAGGTCCATAGCCAGATCTGTGATTGTAAATATTTACACTTTTAGGTTTATCAGCATACCAAACAGTTGATGGCTTAGCTGGAGGTACATGGAGGACAAATTTACTTTCTAAATCAAAAAGCTTAGAAAATGCACACAGTTTTTGATCTATGCATCCGTAATCTTCCCCATCATTCGTGTTGATTAAGTAGCCATTGTATTATGTATCACTTCCCTATTAAATTGCATGGTATTTTACTAAGAATCACCATGGTAACTGAATGCTGAGAAGTAACTTAATTTGAAAGATCAGCTTGAACAGTAGTGCAGGTTAAAATATGTGTTAAATATGTAATATTATATATTTCGCCTTAATTTGTGGAACTCGATGGATATTTTTCTCCTGCTACTATTAACATAGATTTCCTTTCTTCTTGTTCTTTATATAAAGTAACAGGAGTGATACAGTATCTGATAATGGAGAGAGGGCAAGCAATCAGATGCTTCAGGGAGATACAAGGTAAGCTGCTTATTTTTTCTCAGCTATTACTTAAGCAGACCTAGTGAATCATACTATAAATTTCTGCTAACGGATAAGAAGTTACTACAAATCTTAACTTAAAGTTGTTTCTTCTATATTTATGTCAATTAGAATTGGATTCCTCAGCACCAAATTTAGTTCTTTTGCAGTTCAAACTGAAGGATTTGAACTAAAGCATACTGCTGGTAAATAAAAATGGCATGAAATGTAATAAGAGCAGAAGATTTTTTTTTAAAATCAAAGTCTCAAAAGACTGTGTGTTGACATACAAGTATTAAATTCTTTAAAATTCTACTTCAGAAGTATCAGTGAAGCTCTAGTAGTGCTGCCATAATAACAAAGGCTTCTGGAGCGGGGGATTGTTTTCAAAATAAGGGGAAAAAATAAATCATTTGTTATCTTGTCACTTCTCCAACACTTCTTCTGAAAATCTTTCCTGTTTAATCGTATATTTTTCTATTTACAGTGGACATCCAACCTTCAAGTGCCCCTTGTGTCAGGAAGCCAATTTTACTAGACAGCGCTTGCTGGACCACTGTAATAATAGACACCTTTATCAGATAGTTCCTGTAGTAAGTACAGTTGCTAACTGTATGCTTCTTAAACAAATTTTATTTAAATTATTTGGAATAGTGGGAGGATTTTAAACCATGTGCAGTAGCTATTCTATACCTGTAAAGGTCACTGAGACTGAAATTACTTAATTCAGTATGTTTAGATTGAGGAGTGACTTTCATCTGAAAGTACTTGTCAGCCATAGCTGCAAAGCTTCTTGTTGGTTGTAAGGCATTTTTGACATAGCTGCCTCGTTTATCTTGAGTTGAAGCAAACTCACTTATTGAGTTTGACGATTACTCTTGCTCTTCAGTTAGTACCAGAGATTTGAATTACTAGACAGTTCTGTTTGTAATCAAACTATTGTTTCCCATGAAGCCTGTGGTTACTAAAAATCAAAAGACTGGAGGAGAAAAAGCTTATTTTTGGTTTTGTTTTCACTTGGATGTTGGGTGGTGTTATTTATTTATATATTTTTACATAATTGTGATCAAATAAGAAGAGAGGAGGCTTCATGCGAACACAAACTAGGGTACAAAATCACTTTCACTTCTATGTTTAGAACAACAGAAATTGGCTAAAAGAGTGCATGTGCAGGTGTGATAATCTACCACACCCAGCAGATATACTAATGTATTCAACACTCTGAAATGTAGTTTTTTGAATGTTACATGTTTGAAGGAAAAGAGCACTTTATGATTTTTAAGTAAACATTTCTACTGTATTAGCAGATGAGTAACAGAGTAGACAAATATGTCTTCAATGCATTTTGTATTGCAATTAACTTTTTATTCTCTCTTTCCCCTCATCTTCCAAATTTAGATCTGTCCTATTTGTGTATCTCTTCCTTGGGCAGATTCTAACCAGGTTACTAGAAATCTTGTCAGCCATTTAAATCTAAGACACCAGTTTGACTACGGAGAATTTGTGGTAAGCTTTTTCTTTGTCTTGTGGGGGAATTAAATGTGGCCTTAAATGGTTGTTTTGGTTGCTTTCCTTCAAGCCCACTTTGAGTAAATGATGCTGTAGTAATTGTAAAACTACATACACAGATGTAGTTGTTGGGTGGATTGGAAGCCAGGCCAATGAGTTTTGGGCACAGGGTCAGAGAGCTGGCGGGTTTGTGCTGTGTTTTCTGGAGTATTTGGCAGGAAGCAGGGTACCCTGTTTGAGCTTCATAGGAGATGCATGGTGTGTAAAGCATAGGCAGCCTTGCAGTACATAAGGGAAGTACAGAGGATGTACACTTTTTTTTCTGCATATCCAGTACCCTGTGATAAAGGAGTGAAGAACTTGGAGATCAGTATAAGAGATTGGGCTCCAACACAAGTCAATCTTGTATGTTTGAGAGTGTAGAACTGATGAGTGGAATTCAGTTTGGGGAAGCTACCAGAATCGAGCTAAAAAGGTGTATCCTGATGTATTAACGTTTGGGAATGTAGCTCTTCAAAAGTAGCAAGGTTAACCACTCATCTGCTGTGATGTTTGCCTTCGTTTTCAGCAGCATATTCTCCACAATCTTTGATTACTGTTGTCTTGGGATTGGGTTTTGTTTTATTGATAGAAGAGGTTATGGCTGGTCGGAAGTCCTGTTACTAGAATTGCAAGACACATTCTGTTCTCCTGAGCTGACTCTCTGTAACATAATTGAGCCTGGGAGAGAAGATGGACCTTTCTGTTTAATGAGCCTCGTTCCACTCATCTGATTCTTCTCCTGTTTCTTCGGTCTCTTGGTACTTGGTTAAATAAAAGAAACTGGGTAATATGGATAGTAGTCTAATAAATATATAAATGGAGGGCCTTCATCTACCTGCAGTTTCGTATGTAAAAACGTGGGATGTGTACAACAAAACTAAGGATGCTGCACCTTCAACGTTTATCTGTTTTTGATGTTTTTTTTGTTTAGAATCTTCAACTTGATGAAGAAGCCCAGTACCAAAATGCGGTTCAGGAATCCTGTCATGTGAACTTTTGAAGTGTAGATCCCCTTCAACCTACTGATTATCTGAGGGGAAAAACTACATGAATTCTGTTGGTAATATGAAATGTATATTAATAAAAATGGAATTCAGTAAGTAGTTTTCAGGTTTAATTTTTCACACTAATAAGGAATTTTCTTAAATATTTTAACTCATGTTTTTACTGCTATCTGTCCCTATAGAAATAGGGACTTTTTTGAAACTTCAGTCTTGATTGTCCTTAACTTTACTACTCTGTTAATTATATAAATTTCTTTTTTATTAATGTCAGATGTTTCAATTCAGCAATGACCACTTTGAAAATACCTTTTAGAAGTTGATACAAAGATGCTCTATTGCACTATTTAAGTTTAGTTTCCATCTGCTAAGATAGCTCTGAGATGGTGATTTTTTTAAACCATTATTGTGTGAATGAAAATAAATGGGTCCAACTTCCAAAGTCAAAGTATTTGTTTTCTATAGCTCAGTAGTTCAGAATAGGACACTTGCATGCTAAATGAGCGCATGAGAAGTTTTCCCTGTGCTCCCAGCTCTCAGGGAAGAGAATTGCCCTGAGTTAGTTCTTTTCTGAACAAGTCAAATGACATGCAAATATAGAAATATATACTTTTTTGTCATCAGTTCATGTTAAACTTCTCTAAGATTTTCTGTTGCATCAGGAATTCAAGTCTTGATCTTTTTCTTCTTTCACGGAAGCTAGAAAAAAAATTGGTCCAAGACCTACCAACATTCAGACATGAGCTTCTTTGTTTCACTAAGACTGTTTAAAACATGGACATCTGCTGCATCTAAAAGCCTGAAAAACAGTTGAAGAGAAAAACTTGCCTTAAAATAGTTAACTTCATACTTTGGGTTCCTCTCCTAGGTTTCCACATTCTCAGCAAGACCCTCTGTAAAATGAAATTTATGCAATTTTAGTTTAAACCAGAAATCTGTTAATCTGTTTTAAAAGACTCTAGACTTTTTTTTTTTTTTTTCACTCTCTAATACTGATGGAGGAAAGGGGAAAGAAAGTTGCAAAGAGTCAGTGAGCTATTCTGTATGTTTGTGTGCATGTGCGGGTGTATGTTTTTTCAGATTGGCTTTTATTGAGCCCAGAGACTTTCTACGTGTGGTAAGAAAGAATGACCTGTTCTGAGTATGTGCTCTGGGATTGACTCTTCATCCCGCAGCACTGTCACCCCTTGTCAAGCTGTTACTCTTAATGGGTATTGTGTGGGTGAAGAACATACCCAGGACTTCACCTACACATAAGTAACTGCTATAGTAGTAGCATTACCCTTATAGCAGAAGTACAGTCTGCTTTTGTGACATGGCTCCTCTTTGCTCTCCAAACAAAAGCTTGGGTTACTATTTAAATATGCTAATATCTCATATTCCAAAAGTGGCAAGATTGAAACACATCAGCCCGCAATATAATGGGTTCTCAAACTGAATCTTGATAATATGTTGTGAATGTTGGAACTAAAGCACTAATACATTATACATGTGTATGTTAGGTTTCTATCCTTTATTTTTAAGAGTGGCTGAAAACAGAAAATCAACTTTTCAAAGATGTCTTAGAGTTGTATTTAAACTTTCTTTTTTTTTTTTTTTTTTAATATAACAACATGCCCAATACTTTGTTACTGACCAAAATGGTGGCCTGCTATCTGTCTATCTGTCTATTTTTTTTTTGCACTCCTTCCATGTTTTCCCCCGTATTTTTGTCTGTGTCTTTTCATGCGTCAGCTGCGGTGCTTGTGTGACCACATACTGATCTGCAGTGTTTCACTGACACAGCTGAAAATTTGTTTGGATTCCTTATTTTCTCTTTTCCTCTATAAAGCCAGCTATGAGATAGTGCCCTTAGACAAAAGGGAATTTCAAGGTAACCTGATAGTCGACTCTTAACTTTTTAAAATAACACGTACCATGGTGATTTTATTACTGTATACATTTTTCTGAGGAATTTAATAGTTATATATGTTTAGTTCACTTTTTTTAGATTTAATAAACTATTTATATGATGTGGCAATAACTGCCTACAGCCAATACAGATTTAGAGCACCTGAATTGACACTGGAACTAGTTATTCCTGTTACTTGAACATACCTTAAGAATCGTAGATGAAATTGCATCACTCTGGGAAACTAAATTTTTCTATAGCAATAATTAGTTGTCACTTGATGCGTCGTTGCTGAAATAACATTTTAGCTATGTTTAGATCTTGAGACTTGAATGCACATTTGAAGCAACAAATGTGTGTAAATGCAATATATATATAAAAAAATGAATTTCATATCTGGAAAATGTTTTATCCTTTTTTTTTTACTTCTGTATTTTGCATCCAATCTGTATTGGCAGGCATTGCCTTGCCTAATATTTTATTATTCTAGTTCGAAGCGATAGCATCCAGTACATCTACTAGGTAAGAATTTAATGAAAATGAATCAATCTGGTTAAATATGCTGCTGCTGTTCATGATCTTTCTCACGGAAGCTCGGATGTGCACAGAGTTGTGTATTTGTGATGGGTGATGCTTGTACTTCCAACATGCAGCTCACTGAAAGTTTGCTGTTGAACAGTGTTTTCATGTTCCATTGTTTATGGTTTCAGTCTGGTATATTATGTTCAAATTGTATCTTCTGTTTTTTTCCTCATATTAAAGTATTTTTATTTTCTATTTGTCTCTTTATATAATAAAGATGATCAGTCCCTCTGATGTTACTTTGTCCTTTCCCGGCCCTTCCTGAACTTCCAGGCCTTCCATAAAGGTTTGTGGTCACAACTTAAACGATGCGAAGGGCATCGGGAACTGATGAGGTAGCACTAACTTCTCCTCTCAGGAGCTGGCAAGTTATCTTGTCTCATGTCACAAGATCACTGCCATGAGGCAAAAAGATAATCAGAAGCAAAAATAACACTGCTCTGCCTAAACCAGTTACAGTATGTTAAGTATGTAACATTTAGGGTCACTGGCATTCATTATTTGAAGTTAGTATTTTTTGTGAGGAAAGGTAAGAATCAACCAGAGCTGGTGGATTTGGGCCTGCTGTGTTTTGGGTCAGCACTGTTTTGCCCTGTGCCTTTCAGAAGTATCTAGAGAAAGCCCCTTGCTGCTGAATTACTAGACTTCTGTAGGGGTGGTGTGTGCCCTCCCCTGGATGAGGCTGCTCTGTGCTGTTTCCTGCTCTGCTTAAAGTACAGATCGTGTCTTGGGAAGGATCAACCTTTGTCTAATTTTTGAAAGGGAAGCGCTAAAACAGCCTAATTTTCTCCACAGTCGCATACCTCTATTTGTGGGGTCATGGACTAAGCCACGATCTTGCAGAGTATCTCTTGCTTTTGTTTGGTAGCCCCTGCTCGTGAGTTCTGTCCAAAAGCACCTTCTCCAATTCTGAACCTGAGATCCCCGTGCGTGTTTAGGATGCATTCCCTGCTCGCAAGAAGCCTCTGGTCCCTTCCCAGGGCTCAGTGACAGGATACTAAGTGTCCTTATAAACAAATTCATAAAAACAGTAACTGAGCCCAGTGTTTCTAACTTACTTTATATTCTCCTTCTGGCTTTCTCTCTATGCTCTCTGCAGCAATTCTCATCAGTTTCCTTTTCTAAATTTGCCTCTCTCTGCCTCTTCTGTCTTCTAAAGAAATCAGCAATTAACTAAGATTATATTACTTAGTAACTAAGTATCATCTGTTACTTGTATTGTGAGTTCTAGCTCTGCCCTTAATATCTTTGGTCTGAGGGGCCTCTGGACTAAATTAAGGAATTTAGCACTGCTGGCTCTCAGAGGTGGCTGCAGGAGCTTGTGTTCTCATTGTATTTGCAGTTTGAAAAACTTGATCAGTCGCATCTTAGATTCAAAGTGTCTGATGTTTTTCAGAACACATCAGAACAGATGTTTCTCAGGAGAAAAAAAAAAGTTTCAGATTTTCTGGGTTTGCAGGTGTGGATGAGAGAGTCTTTCAGGAGATCCAGCCCATGTGTCACCTCAGCTGTGGAACGGCTCAAACTTCAATAGCTTTCCGTGAATATTTTCATTCATAATTCAAGCCACAAGGGGGCAGTGAATATTTTTGTTTTGTCTCTAAGTAAATATAACAGTTAAGAATGTTAATCTACTGAAAAGTGGTGCTCCGAGACACTTCTTCATATGAGATATCTCTCCCTGAATATTTAATATAACGTAATGTTTGCAGTTGGGTTTTTTTGGACATCGTTTATTCCCGGAATCCATCGAAGCGGCTGGAAGAACGCGTTGATGTGCTTTAAAGGTCCAAACTGAGGGTTTATTGCTGCGTTCTGCTACCTGCGGCAGGTAGGTCGCGTTCACCCAGGGCTGCCCCGGGCCCACCGAGCGCGAGCGCAGCAGGTACCGGGCTCCTGCGAGCCCCTTCCTGCCCCCAGGGCGCCTTTTAGGGGCTCCCTTCCGAGCCGTGGGGACGTCACACGCGGAGGAGGCGCAAGGGGGCACCTGGGGACTGCCACAAAGGGATGCGGAGGCCTCGTAACCACCCGCTCCTGCACGCGGTGCTCTGGGCTTCCTACAGGCCTCTGGAATGCAGAGAGGCCCTCCTGGCTAAGGAGCACGAGGAGCTGAGTGTCCTGGAGCGTCCCCCCGCAGGGACACGAGACGTGGTGGTTAAACTGCAGGTGTTCTCCACACCTCAGCCTGATTAATGTTCGCCAGAAAGTATCCCTGTTCCAAAGATGTCAGGCATGGTTCCAGTGGGAGAGCTGCAATCCTATTCCAGATAACTAATTCGTGAAGGACTATCACACGGAGGTGAAGATAATGGTTAAAGCACGTGGCTGAAGCAACAGTGGGCAGAAAGGGATGCACTGTTACCCACCCAAGCTTTGATATCTGTTACAATTTTCACTTAGTTATATTGCTAATGTCCAGGTTTGTGGGTCCTGGCTTGAAATATTTAGGTGTCCAAAAATCAGGCATGGTTCAATTCCAGTGGGAGAGCTGCAATCCTACTCCAGATAACTAATTCGTGAAGGACTATCACACGGAGGTGAAGATAATGGTTAAAGCACGTGGCTGAAGCAACAGTGGGCAGAAAGGGATGCACTGTTACCCACCCAAGCTTTAGTATCTGTTACAATTTTCACTTAGTTATATTGCTAATGTCCAGGTTTGTGGGTCCTGGCTTGAAATATTTAGGTGTCCAAAATGAAACATTTTGAACTTGATTGAGAAACTCACAATCTTTCCAGTTTATCTGAGAGCCCCTGTCTAGACACCCCATTGATGCCGTTCTCCACTCAGTTAAGGGGTTACTATTGCAATGTTATCAGCGCTTGGGAGATGAATATAAAAAAAAAGAAAGAAAGAAAAAAAAAAGTGAAACTAATTTGGACAAGATTGCACAGGAGGTTTGAGACAGTGCAAGGAACAAACTACTGTCTGAAAATAATGCACAGACCATTTGACTATCCTCCCACTTGACAGTTGGTCTATAAGCACTGCTAAGTGGGGTACATAATGCTCTAAAAGCCAGCACTTTAAGGCTTTTAATTAATTCCTATCACTTGAAATTCACATCAAAGCTCATGATTCAGCCAAGTCCCACCCAAATGTCAACAAGCCATCATGAATCACATTAGTTCACTGAGCAACATACTGATCCCAAAATTATCAAAGCATCTGTGCTAAAATACAGAAGAGCAACAAAGCCCATCAGACGAATACAAAGCAAACATGCTAGAAAATCCTCGTCAGTATAGACCCACAGTTTTATGGTTTGGGTTTCCATTTTGAAATTTAGTTTCCTTAGCTTTTAAAAACAGCATTTCCAAGAAAAATAGGGGCTGTATTATTATTTCCTCTGTTATTTCTTCATTACCTCCAGCCATGGCCATTGCAGGAGATCTGCATCAACCACCATGTCAGGTTTTGATGCCTTTCCTTTCTGTTGCTTGTACTAGCAGCGGAGAAGCATGAGGGTCTATGGGGAAAGAAATCTAATTGACTGGCAAAAGCTCAGATTTTGCAGGTGTCTCTTATAGTTACTCAGGGCTCATTAGACAGCTTAGCACCCATAAAAGTTGTGAAACATGTGCAAGGCAAAGAATTATAAGAAGTGGGAAAGTAATCAACCAGCTAAAGACCTGCTCCCTCTGCTCTCTGTTTAATGTTTTTGCCTTTTCTCAAATACACAGCATGGGCCAGAACACTGTGGGCCTCTCTCTGCAGAGCAGGTTGGTCATGGAATGAACATCCTTGGTTCATAGGACAGCACGAAGTCCCAAATCACACAAAGAAAGGACCCGTGCTACTTTTGGCTGATCTGTGTGTAGCTAACTGAGAAACAAAGACATAATGTGTATATTTTCTTCCAGTACCTTCACTGTTTGGCATCACCATATACTAAATCGCAATGATTTGTAGTGTTTTCTTTAGATAACTTTGCATCCAGCCCTCAGAGCACGAATAGTCAAGGGACAGAGGTTTGTTGCAGCCTCTGCTTGTGACAGGAGGATCATCCTCAAATCTTCTGTTGCAGACAGGCTGGATGAGGGGTCTCGGTACTGGCTGATGCATCTTGTGAGACTGTGGAAACTGAGGAGCAGATTTTCCTGACGTGGTGAAGGGCCAAAGAATGAGGAAACAACAAGAACAAAACAAACGAACAAGCAAACCAGTTTCTAAGCTTCCTTCCAAAACTAACTGGTCAGATTAAAAGATACACTAGTCCTTTGGAGTTAATCATTTTCCACCATCACACCTGTAATGTGTTATAAACAAGGAATAAGGGGGGCAGCTAAGCTAGCTTGGATCAGGAATCTATTTTTAAGAATCATGCACTTAGGCTTTAGTGCATGTCACAGAGCAGTTTCAGAGCACATGAACTGAATTTCTTTTGCATGAATCTAAACCGGAATATGTACTTCAGGTCCTCCCCTAATGCAGTCTAGCTGCCACCACTTAGAATCAATCAGTCCTTTTCATCATTCCCCATAGTTTAAACACTATAAGAAACGTTGTTAGCTGTAGTGTTATAATTTTGGATTCTGTTCTCCAAGGAAGTATCTGTTTACAATACAAAACCTAAATATCATTATAGCTTTTATAAAATCCTAACCAAATAACTGATCAGGAAAAGGTAAAGCTTCGCCAAGTCTTATCATACGATTGCCACAAGTACCTTCAATTTAAGTCTAATAAGAACCTATGGCATTTTCCACTTTTTGACAGTAGCAAATAGAGAAGATGACTGAAGTTTGAAGGACAATAAAAATCCAAACAATAGACAATGTAAATAGCACAATGGTCTTGACATTTTTAAGAATTAATTTGTACTGAATTTATCAATAATCTGGAAGAATACCATGGTCTGATCTACTGCCAAGTACAGTATGCTGTAACAATAGAAGTGGCATTGACTTTTTTAATACAAAGATTCTGAAATTTTGGCAGATATTTTTTATGTGGACACATTTACCACATTCCCTTTTTGTGAAAAAATATCACATGTAAATACAAATACACTAATTTCTTACCACTTGAAAGTCTGATCTGCTTTTGCTCATTTGACAGCTTTATTCACAGAGTCACAGGATTGCTGAGGTTGGAAGGGGCCTCTCGAGATCTCCTGGTACAACTTCCCTGTTCAAAGCAGGTTTTGCAGGACTGCGTCCAGTCAGATTTGTGTATATCCAAAGTTGGAGGCTTCACAGCCTTCCTGAGCAACTCATTCCTGGTTAACCTGTTTAACCACCATAAGAGTAAAAAAGCTTTTTCTTATGTTTAAATTGAAGTTCTTGTATTTTGTTCTTGTATTCTTGTTCTGGTATATTGTTCTTGTATTCTTATCTGCATCCATTTCCTCCTGTATTTCTTGTGTCCCCCTCTATATCCATTTAGATCTTTTTGTTTTTTTTTCTCTCACAGGACTCTATAAATATTTAAAATACACTGTATGTTAATTATCGTAATATAGTGAAGTGGACTTACTGGAGTTTTAAGACAAGAAAAGGTAGGTAAGTTAATCGTTGATGGAAGGACAAAGGTTTCAATTTATGACATTTACTGCCTTAAATATCACGTTGCTCTGAAATGCTGACTGGATATCAACATGGGCTGTTTTCCTGTGTCTGCCCTCCTAGCTTGGCTGCTTCTTCAGGTGGTCTGTAGTCAGGTAAGAAACCCAAGAATGAATATTCTTCATGTGGAGAAGTGCAATGTAGCTCAAAATGAGATTGAGAAGAAAAGACTAAGTATGTCGCTATTGCAGAAATAAGAATTCTGTTTAATGGCTGGGTGGAAGACAAAGGAAATCTTAGTGCTGTTGTTTTAATAGGTTCAGCTGTACCTCAGGAGACCTCATCTTGCATTTCCATCTGAGCAAAATTTCTCCTAGTATTCAGAGTAAAGTTTCCCACAAAGATTTGTATATTTTTTAGGTATATCTGATATTGAAATTTGCATCTTTATAGCTACTGCATATGCTTTTTCATGAATCTACTCTCTGTTCCTCCAATCCAGCTGAGCTATTGGGTTATGAAAAGTAACAACGAGAATTTTGAGAATTTATATTTCCTATCTTTTGTGGGGAAATGTAGTATTTTGCTGATGTAGTAATTCACTGTAGTTGCCAGGAATTTGGGTGTTATTATACAATATAATTAACTTGTAGAACAAAACTCAGTAGATTGTTGAAAGTTCATTTCTGCTGTTAATAGCTTTAGGATAATTTGCAGAGTAAGGTATCACATATTGTGTCATTACTTTAAATGGAATAGCCTTATCTATTTTAATTTATGCAACTTAATCCTATGAATCCAGCTCCAGTAATGATGTGGCAGACATCTCCTCCTCCTCTGCACCTGCAGATACTCATCCACAGTCAAGAGCTCAATCCCGTATCTCCAGCTTTCCCATAGTTCTCCTATATCCTCATTCCCCAATATCCTATTTTTCTCCGTGGCTGCTGCCTGCCACAGCTCCCTGTTCCTGTCTTCTCGGGAATTCTCTCCAGCTTCTTGGAAACTCTGGTCTCCACTTTGTTTCCTTTCCTCTGCAAGGCGTTTGTAAAGCACGCGGTAGGTTGCCCAGGCTGCCAACATCTCCAAGGTGTCACCCTTGAGCTGACTCCTATCAACTAGCCCATGGGTGATAAAGTGGCTCTTGGTCACCAGGACTAGTCACTTAGTGTCCATGCATTATTGCCAGGAAGAATTTCTTTTGTGTTTCTGGATGCTGAGACCAGAAGTGGTATGATCTAGAGAAAATACTGCTAAATTAGGGTATCTCACCCAGGGCACCTAGGCTGATTGACTGAAGCCTCTGGTGAAAGAGGGAAATTTTCGTTGGATGATTTATCACATCCTCAAATATTCCAGGGCACCTAGGCTGATTGACTGTGCTCCCTCTGAAGCCTCTGGTGAAAGAGAGAAATTTTCCTTGGATGATTTATCACATCCTCAAATATAAATGTCCAGGCTGGGTGAGATATCTAGAGATATCCACCTCTAGAGATATCCACCTTTATCTTATATGTTCTTAGTCTCTGTTGAAATTTTTGGCCACATATTTTCTTATCCATTATGCGGATGGTAGAACTGACAAAAATCAATATTGTTGTGGAGTGCGTTGACTTTATTTTTAAGGTTTTTGAATATGGTGATCTTCTAATGTTTATCACTGCTAATTGTTGTTGCATATGGTTCACCTGATTAAAAAAAGGTCTCAGAAATATTGCACACAAAACTGCATGTAGGAAAGATAAGAAATTATTTATGAGGAGAAAGAAAAACAACTTGGGAGAGAAAAAAAAGCGCCCTAGAGTAAAAATAAAACTAAAAATCCAATCCTACTTTGCAGAATTGCTGCTATATGCTACCATTTAATAGACCTGTACCTTCTATTGCCAGAGCTTAAAATCTGAGGTTTTTTTAAAAAAAACCTTCAGTTTGTGTGCTTCTTTTCAGATACAGGAGAACAGGACTTCTGGTGAGAAAGGGGAGAAAAAATATATAAATAATTGCTTAGAAAGGTGTTTTATGATTTTACTCACTGCATGAGATATAGTTGCTTAATGTTGCATGAAGTGTCTAGCCTAATGAAGGAATATAGATTATATTCCATGGGCATGTTGAGACAAGGAAGCCTGTGCTATGGATATTTCATTATGGTCTTGCTCCAATCCAAAACTTCTTTTTCCAATTGGTAAAAGAGCACTCGGCAGTGCCCAAATTAAGGGAGAAAAACAACTGCAAAAGCTTTACAGAGGCAGCAGTGGGGGACTTGGTCTTTACCAGTGGGTACCCAACTTGGGCAGACTCATGTGGGAGGGCAAAAACGGGCACAAGCAACTAAACATTTCTAGTTAAATGAGAAAAAATGGGTCCAGTCACACTGACACGACACAATGCACTAAATCCTGTTAGCTGAGTGGAAAACGTGTCTCTAATACCATGAAGAAAGTTGTATTAGCCACTTTTCATTATGTGCTTCCTAATAATATCCTTCTTTTTTCTCCCCAATTGCCAGCCTACTGCAGAGACAATTGGTAAGTTCAGCTTGGAGTTCGGTTTGCATGCACAGAAGGCAGGCAGCAAAACCAGTTACTCATAAACACAGGTCAAGCACTGATTTATAATTACTGGTACTGTTATTGCATTAATTTTCACACTTCATAAAGATACCACCAAAGGCTCGTGCCCTATCTCATTTGTCTTTTTATTTTTCAGAAATAGACGTAGATGGAGGAATTGATCAAGACATCTTTGAAATCAATGAAGGTTTTCTCTTTTTTTAATTCAGTTTTTCTTTTAAATGTTGCCTAATTTTCGTTACAGTAGCCGCATAGTGGCTGTGGCGGAACATTAATCTCCTTTTCCCTTTAGCTTTAGGACTGAACCTTTTTGAGGGAGACATCAAGCTTGATGGGGTAAGTGCAAATACAAATATAAAACCAGAACTGTGTAAATGACTTATGCCATGTGAGGTCTTACTGGCATGAAAATGATTAATGCAACCTGCTTGTACTAACAATAAATGTGGTTTATTGTTATTACAATAAACTGAAATATTTGGATATGGATTTCTACAAAATGCCACAGACACTGAAGGAGTCAGGTACATTTGCAGGAACATTATCCAGAGTAAGATCAGCTCAGCCATTAAGTTCAATATTATGAATATCTTGTTTCCTTTACCGTGGCTTTTATGTTTGTACTTTCAAGAGATTCAGCAGCATTGATCTCATCTAGAGAGATTTATACTGAAGTTTCTTAATTTATCTGAACAATATTTATTTTCAGCCAATGAAACTTACAGAAGAGGGCTGCAAAAACATCTTTGTTGTGTAAGCAGATTCACTAAAGCCAAAGGAAAATTAAATCTGTAAATTATATCACATTTTAGAGCACCTGTCCACTCCATAAAATAAAATATTTACAAAGCAAATTATAACTCAATGATTCCTAGTAGATATCCAGAAAAGCAGTTTCAGCTTATTTCCCTGAAAGCCGGTAGTGTTTTATGCTCCCTTTTGGTGAACTGCTTCTGCTTGGGCATATTGGTGACAAGGAAAGCAGTTGTTAAGGACACAGAAACAGATCCTTGCATGTATGAAAAGCTGCCAAATTGGTAATGCCTATGCTCATTTCAACTCTTTAGGTTCTAAACTGAAAAGTGTTTTCACTTTCCTACTGAAACGGAAACTCTCCTCACCCATCCATCAAAATTTAGTTAATCTCCATGGAGAAAGTGCTGCGGAAAGGGGAAGCCCTGGTAGTGGGGAGTACAGGCATTTCCAACCCAGACCTTAGCTCTGAGGGATCTTGAGCTCTTTGTGTTGCTATGTATCTTATACGGGTTATCATGCTTAGCACTGATGAGCTATTTTACTCCCTGATCCTAAATCACTTTTCACTGAGGACTGCCTACTTATTTTCTTTTCCAGATGCAGGAACGAAACTCCATCATCGGCGACGAGTATCGGTGGCCCCACACTGTTCCCTACGTCCTCGAGGACAGCCTGGGTATAGTATTTGCCCTTGAGAGTATCCATATGTCGTTTTGATGGAAGTTTTGCAAAATAGCATAGTGAAATGCCGAGAGCGTATGGTATCCCTTCCTCTCCCCACAACCACGCTCTGCATCCATAGCAGGACATTCTGCACAGAAGATTAGCTCTGGGTTTGCAAAAGCAGCCTGTATCATCCTCATGATGGTGCTGGGGTCTCACCTTTCACAGGTGCTTCTGACCTTGCCCTCCAGCAGCTCTGGTGGGACTAGGAGCTAAACCTTTGAAAGACTTGAAACCAAGCTTGTCTCTTACAGGAGATAATCCAGGAATTAGCAGTTCAAGGCCTGAAGAGATCTCTAAGAGATCTGGACCTTGTAGGTTGCACTAGATGGAATCTGATGCCTTCTTTTTTCATTGTTGATCTAATGGTCGCTAAGATAAAATTCAGTAAAGTAAATGAGAGCATTTAGAGAAGTAAGACTCATGCACTATCATATATTATATGCTCATAAACTCATATTTTTTATGTATAAGTACCAAACATTGAAACAAAACAAAGATAAAATATTACAACAACTTAATTTATGATTTTGAGGTACTTACCCAGGTCTTAATCTAGCAAAAAGCCTACTTATTTTAATTAAAGATTGTTGGAGCAAGACCTACCCTTAGGACTTGTTCCATAGTGGTAACAACACAGCCCTATTGGCTCGGTATTGACAAGAAAACTGTTTGCTCTTGCAGAAATGAATGCTAAGGGACTCATCCTCAAGGCATTTGAACAGTATCGACTAAAAACCTGTATCGACTTCAAGCCTTGGGAAGGAGAGGAGAATTATATATCTGTGTTCAAAGGAAGTGGGTAAGAGGAGTACTGTAAAATAGCCCTCATTCTGTTTGGCTACAGACTGTTATCATGGCCAGTATTTGCTCTTAAACTCATATATCTGATTATAATTTTAAATTTTGATGTGTCCATTATTCCTTTCCTAGGAACTGTAGTAGCTTCCAAATCAGGTATTGTCTTGGCAACTACTGGTTGCTGACATTTGCTTTTAATTACGAGATGTAAGAAAGTCTTTAAAGAATTAATTTTCTTAGCATAAGTAAAAATATCTCTAAAAAATCATAATTCTTCTGCTTGACCTTTTCCTATGTGGAATGTTACTTTCACATGGCTATTCTAAACATACATTTTTTTTAGAAAATAAGTTCCTATAGTAGAAATGTGTTTTAACTGAGGGACAATGAACTTGTTGAACTATAACAAATAAAATTTCATCTAAATAGTGTCACATCAGCACTGAGTAATCATAGTATTCCTAAATGCTGCACAACACTGAGACATTTTACAGGGATTTCCATTTATTTACCTCCTTTGATGAATTGTTATGTTATTCCACCTGAAATTTTACAAAATAATATTTCAGTAATGAAGTCAAACTTGCATCAAACCAGGGTCTCAAGAACAAATATACTCTCCACTCTACGTTGAACTATTTCTTTCTTGTTAGAAAAAGAGATGGAGGATATCTTGGTGGGTCTGGTTGGGAAATTTACTTCTAGAAAATAATTTCCTTCTCTAAGCAGGGCTGCATGCATAGATGAAAGATGATTTTTGAATAATAGAAATGTCCCCCTTTCCGTTTAGCTTGTTCTGAGGTATTTGTAGCAGATAATTGCTTCAAAATGTCTTCAGTTTCTGGCTTTTTGTATATCCTGCTCTTTCTGAAGTAGACATGGAAATGCAGCCCTGAATGCTGTGAATGTGGAGACTACCAGGGCAGTTGTCCCTCTGAGCTGAACGGAAAACACACAGGGCTCAATTCCAGAGCCCATAGTCACACAAAAGCATTCATTGAATTTACTAGAAATTGTATCTTGAAAACAACCCCAACAAGTAGCATGTGCTAATTAAGAGGCTTCTACAGAGTGTTTCGCTTTGTCTCTCTATTAGAAATAGAGGGGTCGTGGTGATCAAGAGTCACTCCAGATGGGTGGCACCTTCCCTCCACCGCCCAACATGTTGCTTGCACTCAAGGGTTCCTCTTATTCCAGCTGACATACCAGTAAACTCTTCATCATCAAGAGTGTTTCTAGAAGACTGGAGCAACTCTCCACAGTGTCCCCAGAGCGGGTGACCCGTTTCAGGAGCCTGTTTTGAAACTTAACAAAGGGATTTCAGGGGGGTTGGACTAGATGATTTCTAGAGGTCCCTTCCAACCTCAACCATTCTGTGATTCTGTGATTCTGTGTGATTTTCAGACCCGATCCCACACAAAGTGCCTTTCATTTCCCTCCATTGCTGTGTTCTGATATAATGTGACAAAGTAAACTGGGGTAAACCAGCCAATTTCCACTCTGCCCTACCCAACTTTTTTTTTTAATTTTCAACTAAATCTCATAGGACCGCAGGACCCAAACTAGACAGTACAGTGTGTGCAGAAGCACAAAGTTCCCACAGACATTAGACAGACTCATAAAGTTTTATCACACAAACAAAAAGTCAATAAATCCTCTTTGCCTTTTTGAGCTTGGCCAGCATCTGTAAAACATACACAGGGAGGTGGATATGCCCCATGTTGAAGATTTGTAGTTGGCCCTACAGTCCTTGTCTGGGTTATCCTTTTGAGTTCAGAAGTGACCTAGAAAAGAAGCCAGCTGTGATTTTTTGTATGTGTTGACCACTCCGTGTAAAAGTAAGTGTGCAGCCTCTGATATAGCCAGTGTCATCTGCCCCAACGAGAGAGGAGGTCATTCCTGAATAACCCAAAAGATCAGAGATTCTCTTTACCCACCATTATGTTCAGCCTTTTGCTTCAGCTTTCTGTCCAGCTCTATGAACTTGCAGCAGAGGCCAAGCCACAGATTTATTTAAAGACCTTTTCTTGACTTCAGCCTATGGGCTAAACAATATATATGAGGGATGATTGGGGTTACAGAAATGACAAGATCATCAGACGTGGCAGGTGCCTGCAAAGCACATGGAACTGTTTGGGAAACTGCAGTGTGTGTGTCATTTCCTCCCTCTTCTTCACATGAAGAGCAGGACACATTCAACAGGAAAACTAGCATGGCGTGGTTGAACCATATAGTTGGCATACCAAGGCAAACGAACTTTGGCTCTGGGATTTCTCAAAGGGAACTTGGATTTTCATGGAGCTCTCCTGGGGGATCACACCAGTTCTTTATCACTCTGATCCATGGTTAAGGGAATCCATATGGAGATGAATCTATACAGATCCCTGGCTAACCAGCTTCATGCTAGTGCATCAAACCTTTTGTGGGGACGTTATTTACTTGCAGGATATCAGAAGTGCTTGAAATAATGGTGACGTAGGAAGGGGGATTTCTGGACATGGGGATTTACAGATACCATGTATATACGTACAGTGTGCATTCCAAGAAGGTTTGTGAGTGTTACCAGAGCAGATGCTGTTTCTTGCTTCTGCAAGGTCTGGTAGAGCAGCTACCGATGTGGAAAACCTTGAATCTGAGGAGATATGACTCTGATGTGCTTGGAGAAAGTGAGCCTTTTTTTTCCTGTCTTTTATCTGCTCCTAAAGACATTGCTAACATATGAGTCCATATTGCTAACATAAGTCCAGTGCTTTGAGTGCTGCATCCCTCTTACATAGTTTTATTCTCGGTGCTGAGGCACACAGAATATGCATTTACTCCCTCCGTGGTTGCATAAAGATGATTTCCTAAGCATTTGGTAGAGGGAGGGCAGTGGGAAGCTGCATCCCTCCATCATCCTGGATGCTAATTTGGCCAAGTGTCCTGGATGTCCCTGTGGACATCCCGTGCTCTACATGACAACTGTGAAGCCAGGTGCAAGGACTTGAGTATCAAGTGGACTCAGTGCTCTTGTGGGATCTTTCCATGGTTGCACAACCAGAAAGAACGGAATAATCGATACAAGTCCTTGTTCAGGGAAAGCCAGCAAAAATATCAATGCCAGATGTGTTCCCTTCCAGACCACATGTTGTGATTTTAATGAGTAATCAATAGCTAAGGCCCATGTGGCTTTGTGACAAGAGAAATACTTTGGAATATGTTGCACTAATAAGTTACAGGGCTCTGAAGTGCCTGGTGTGTTTATTTTTTCAGCTTCTGGGGTGATAGGATTGCAAATCCTATGGGATATTTTATGCCTGATTAATTTTATAGACTTCATTGGGTAGGTGTTGATTTATTTGCTGCATAAAATATCAATTTAAATGTAACTCTCTGTGCCTGCTAGTTTGTGGACATGGGGTGCCATTTTATTAGTCTGTGCAGATAGCTCACTGAATGCTATTATTCTTTAATAAAACTTCCAACATAGCTGTGGTTTTCCATTTCCTTGCAAGTGAGAGGTCAACAAGCACTCCAGCACAACAACCTGTGAATATCTAGAAAGAAAAGAACTTATGGAAAGCATCGTCAAATCTGGCAACCATCCACAAAGTGGACAGAGGTACTCAAAAGATTGCGTGGTTTGACCCAAGAAGCCACTAAACAAAAGTTCAAAAAATATAGAGAGACACGATGGCAGAGATGAGAATTTATGCTAACATTATTTTAGCCTTAAAATGGAGATAACCTCAAAGTGGCCCAGTGAGGAGCAGCATTTAGTGAATTTACAGTCATTTGGTTGTCTTAAATTATGTATCCACAGCCTTTGATGTTTCACTGGGTATCAGTGGAAATCCTCATAAGTTATTTCTGTCACATGTAGTTCAACATTTTTCTGGTAAAGACAGGCCATTAAAAGCAAGAGCTGATGATCTGCTTATTCATCAGAACAACATTAAACACAGGAGGAAAAGATCCAGTAAGGAATGGATCAATAAAAAAGTGCTCTCTGCAGCAAAACATAACTTTTAACATTCAATTTTAAAATATACCTATTGAATAGATGGATTCTGGAGTTCATGTGGGGATGGTATGCATTTCACGGGTCTGTCTTTCATTATATTTCAATATTAGCTGCTGGTCCTCAGTAGGGAACCGCCAGCAGGGGCTGCAACAACTCTCGATTGGAGCCAACTGTGACAGAATTGGGACGATCGAGCACGAGTTCCTGCACGCCCTGGGGTTCTGGCACGAGCAGTCGCGGTCCGACCGGGACGACTACGTGTCAATAGTGTGGGACAGGATTCTGTCTGGTAAGTCCTTCCCCTTCCTTTCCTTTCACACTCTTACTCGTTGTGACTCTTGAGCCAATTTCAGCCATACTTCAACAGTTTAGAATATTCTCTCACCTTGACTTACTTTTCCACAACATAGTGTATCAATAAATTAAATATCAAGTGATATCTATTTGGGACAGAAACCCTTTTTTTTTTTTTTGGTGGCTATTGTTATTACTTGTATCATGGCCATTTCCAGAGGCTTAACTGGAGATCTGAGTCCCATTACACTAAATGTTGTGCAGTGCAACAAGAGAAGAGAATAATTTCATTTCTTGAAATGGCTCTAAAAGCAGTTTTATAGCAGATGCTTTCTACAAAACAAAAGCAATAAAAACAAACAAACAAAAATCCCACCCTGAAAAAGCCAATGCAACCAAAGCCATTGGAAAATCTCCACGGAGAGCTGATCCCTGCTCCTAAGCACGATGCAGAGGGTGGAGTGGCCCTCTGAAGGTCCCTGTCTCACAAGCAGTTACTTGGGCAATGCAGCTTTTGAATTTAAATCTTAGAGTATTTCACACAAGCTTGGCGGCTTGCATGGGGTTCCTCAGGACTGCTGTTGAAAACTGTTTCTTCATTTTTTTTGTGACCAACTGTATCTGTCAGGGAGTAAAACAAAGTTAGAGAGGCTTTGCTGCAGATGCAACAGAGGCCTGAAACAGTCCACTCGAGTATCCATACCCACAAAGATATGCTAGCAAGCTAAAAACAGAGAAGAGTAATAGAAATGATAACAAGCTGAGGCGAGTTTCATCTATTTTGTTTCAAAAGGAGGAGATATCAAAAGCTGATCAAAGTTTATGAGAAGTTTCATGGGGAAAAGATTTCTGACACCAAAAAAATGTTTTCTTTCATCTCCTGGAAGTCATATCAGGCTCCAATGGCTGAAAGAGGAAGCTAAATAAATTCAAATTAAAATAGAATAGTTTTATGGAGTAAGCACAAGCACATGATTACTCAAATATACTCGGGGATCTGATGGATTCTCTGTCATTTAAAGCCTGTGTGTAAAGATGTCGTGGTCATCTTGACTTCTTTTTAGGTAGAGAACATAACTTCAATAAATATGATGATGAAACATCAGACTTCCTCAATGTTCCCTATGACTACACTTCTGTGCTGCACTATAGCAAAACCGCATTCAGAAACGGGACTGAACCAACCATCATAACTAACATACCAGAATTCATGGATGTGATCGGACAGCGAATGGATTTCAGCGACTACGATCTCCAGAAACTGAATAAGCTGTACAACTGCTGTGAGTTTCTCCATTGCCTTGAAATTCTTTGCCCTTGGTGTTTGAAAGAAACGAGGGTGGTGCATACATCATGCTGGACTCACGCAGGCACAAGTAAAAGAGATGTTAGCGTATGAGAACATGCTCAGAGAAATGAATTGTGTTAGAAACACCCGAAATAATGGTGCATTGAGAAATAATACAGCCCTCCTGCAGAAACACTGCTGAGTAGCAGAGTTTTCTGTGCAATTTTATTTGACCTTTAGTTAAAAACCAACTTCACTCAGGAGCTGATTTTTGTTCTGCCCTTGGGTGGCTGTTCAAAACGCACACTTCTGTGCAAGCTTTCACTCCCCCAGCCACGATTCCCCTGCTGGGGACACTACAGAAATTAATATTTCTGTGTGGCTGTTATATCTACTCAAATCTCATGCAGTCTGTGAGGCAGACTGTGTGCTTGTTCCAACAGATTATGGACGTTTCTCTGAAGAAAACATGAGCGTTTTAAAATCTGGTTTTAGTTTCAAACCCTGTTTCTTACAACAATGGTCAAAAGAATTACTTTGCTCATGTGAGTTTTATTTTTAAAATTTGAATGAAAATGGGAGACCTAGAAATGCAGATTATTATTTATAATAGGATTTCTTAAAAGAAATGCAGATTATTATTCTTAAACCTTAATCACGGAGAAGATTAAGCTGAACTCCTGCTAAAAAACTTCTATGGTTAGGAATTGACATTAAAAATTGGAAACTTAGCTTTTCCACTGTACTTAGAGTGCATATGCATTTCTGAGCAAAACTTTAGATCTGTATTGTTATCTTCTTCAATATTGTCTTTCATTTCACCATGATAAAGGTATCTCCGAATATTTTTCCCTTTTAACATATTACTTAGTAGAACTGACTGTGGGATACCCCTCAGCCATTGGAAGTCAGGATGCAACATTCAAACACCGTGTATCAACTTCCAGATTTTTTTTTAAGCCTTTTACTAAATACCTAGAAATTATCTGGCTTGCAGAGCAGATGAAGTTCAAAATGTTCTCCCTTCAGTGCTGCCTTTCCATATCTCATTAATTAATCAAAGAACTGCACTATATAGTACTAGGGCCTGTTTTTCTCTTCTGCTTCTGTCGTTCAATTCATCGTTAGACATTAGATAACCAAGGACATTTTTTAATTGAAGTAGAAAGTAAAATGCATTTCGTTTGATTTCAAAGATTTGATTTCTATCTTCTAGCAATTCTGTTTTTGCTTACCATTTTGCTTGTGCAAGGCTGACTGACACTAGCTGTTTTTTTTCTTACTGCATTTTAACTGTGAAAGCTGCACTGACCTCATACCTGTTTATTTTTTTTTCAGAATCATATAAATGGTATATCTTGAAATATATCAGTTATAAAACACTTTGGATAACCATACAACCTCTAGAGGACTGTTAGATTTTTATGAAGGCAGTACAAAGTATCTCAACAGTTTAAGTGATTTTTGGCAGCTGTTCATACTTAAGAACTTCCCTGTGCAAGCAATGCATGTGACATGCCATAGAGGTTGATTTTTGTGATAGTCAAGGCCCTTTGTAAAGTGCAATGATACCTTTAAACCTGCCACAGTATTTTAGACATAGTTTGAAAAGCAATAACCATGAAGCATTTTATTAGTGGAGCTGTTTTCAAATCATGTTTGGTGTTACAAAGAGCTCAAACATGCTCCCATGGGAGACAAACCTAAGAATAGAGACAAACCTGGACTGTAGCTTCCTTTACACGTCCAGACTTAACTTTAGACAGATAAAACATTTTATATAAAATGTTCCTTTTCAATGTACTTGCCATTTACTACTCAGCTGCAGAATCTTCCTTCAATTAATTTCTTCTTGGTTATCTGGAAGGGAGGTCTTGAGAATTTGTACAAGCTGAGATAGCCACTGCTCTCAAATATACATTTATTAGTTTTTTTTTTTCAAATAAGCTTTTCAAAACCAAGGCTTGCGCATTGCAGTGAACCAGGTCTGCCCTACTGTATTTCAAAAAATCACGCTGCTGAGGAATTATTGGGGAAACTCAAAATCTGTAGCCAGCTCAAAGAAAGCAGAGGAGCAAATGTGAAGCCCTCAAACCCTTTGGCTGTGTGTTGGCTGCTGGACTGGGGCTGTTATTGCCATTCCTTTAATAATTAAAAATGTGATATGATGATTAGATAACACCCCTGCATGCCTGTTAAGTGCTCTGGTATGGCTCTGACACTGAGCTTCAGTGTTAGACCCAAATGTGATAAGTTCTTGAGCATTATACCTGTGTATATTGATGGTATTGGAAACCGTTGATCTTTTGTGTGTGTGTGTGTGTTTGTGTTTCCTAGTCTATCTTTGCTCCTTGCTCTGCATGCCTAGAATTAAAAGTCTATCATCTAACAGGGATTCACTTTTTTTTTTTTTTAATATGTATTTTATAGCCTCCTCTTTAAGCTTCATGGACACATGCAGTTTTGAACTTGAAAATATATGTGGCATGATTCAAAGTTCAGATGATAACAGCGATTGGCAGCGTTTGTCTCAGGTCCCTGCTGGGCCAAATACTGATCATACCAATATGGGAGAATGCGAAGGTATGAGAAATACTGTTCTTATCTCTCTGAGAAGTATTTTCTGCAAAGGCATGCTAATTGACTTTGATCTCGGCCTTGTCTCAGTTTATTTGTTCACAACTTTCAGTTAATTTTTTAACTAAGCAACATAAAACATGCTTAAGGATATCATGTGACACATTCTATTTTCTGCTTATTTAAGAAGATTGAATGTTCTTATCTCTTTTGTTCTGTTTTCTGTTCTTAATGTAACACCATCACGAGAACATAAAATTTTCTAAGCTATGGTACAGCTTCACCAGAAAGACCGTTGCTATAACAAGACATTTATTCTTGAATAATTGCTCCATAAGTCTCTGGAAAGGATTAGAATTTAGAGATTATATATGTAATCAGAGCACAGGAGAACAATTATTTTGGAATAAATACAAATTATTTTTGAAGTCATCAAAAAAAGCTTCATGAATTCTGGAGCCTAAAACAGTCCACCAGAGTGAATGCCAAATATAAATTATTGGTATTAGGGAAGGAGTTAAACCAGGGAGTTCTTATTTTGAATACAAATTGCTTGAAACAACCAAACAAGAAAAATTGGTCCAAGGAGAAAACTGTTGCCTCTGAAGAACGTGAGCAGGTGACAGGCCTTAACTGGTAAGGCTGGATTTGTAGAAGGTCTAGCTTACTGGAGCCCCAGTCTGACTACGTCCTCCAGCATCAATTCAATACAGTGCTTAGTAATACAAGTGCATGAGAAAAGATGTATCCTCTCACTCTCTCCTTCATCACTCATTTCTCCTTCACTTTGGGCAGGTTCTGGCTACTTCATGCACTTCAACACGAGCGCTGCAGGAGAGGGAAGCTCGGCTCTGCTGGAGAGCCGGGTTCTGTACCCGCGAAGGGGCTTCCAGTGCTTGCAGTTCTACCTGTACAACAGCGGGCACGAGAGCGACCAGCTCCACGTGTGGGTGCGGGAGTACACGGAGGACCAGCCCAACGGCACCCTGAGACTCATCGAAGAGATAAGAGGTATGGGTTGCAACGGCGTTCTGACTTAATCCGTACTCAATATCCTGTCCAAAGCATTGAAGAAATATGTTATACCAAAGTGACTCTCCTAATTTAATTCTTTGAGTTCTTATCTAACTATGCAATTGATTCTCTCTTGGTGAAATTATGCTTGATGGATCCTCGGTCAGTCATTTTTCTGTACTACCAACAATTGCCACAAATTACACACTCCTGCATTATCAAGATATTTCTCTCACTAAAATACCTAGAGTTCCATAAGCAGACATTTTAGCTGTTTGAGAATTACTGGTATCAATAGCAACAGATTTAGCTGGGCATTAGAGTAAATTATGATGAATATGGCATTAATAAAAGAGAAATGAAAAGCACAAGTGCCATGGGCCACCTAAGATACCAACCTGAAAAAGATAAATAAAACTCATCTTACTTTTGGGGCAATGTTAGATATGACTTAGCTGATATACCTTGTCATATGTGAAGAATTCAGTTAGATCCTGAGGAATATTACATTCCTGTGTGAGTTAGGAGCCTATGGTTTATGGAATGAGCCATGGAGGTCAGTCAGTAGAAAAGAGCTCTTTAAGCTAGAATTGCCAAAGGTGCCTTAGTATCAAACTACATTATTAAATGGTCTTGACACCATTGCTTGATCTTCATTATAGCTACAAATAATTCAATCTGCTGGTTACATAAGGATCGGAGCAAGTTCTTTTACAAAACAGATATCAAATCCTGCCTCTGCTTCTCTTTGTCCTTTGAGGCTCAGCTACTCCTAACACCTTTTTTATTTTTTCCCCCTATTTTCTTTTTATTTTTATCCCTATTTGCCATTTGGAATCCTTAATATAGCTGTCAGGCCAGCTAATGGCAGGGTAAACTTAATTTTAGTCTGAACCCTCCAAATGGAAAATAGTGGTGTGCTTCAGCTCTTGCTTTTGACTTTATTTTTTTATTCCTATTTATAAAAACAGTAATGAAGAAAAGGCAAAATTTAAGACTCGTAGAAGAGATCCATCCTACTGTGTTTAGAATTGCTAGGAACTTTACATGTGAATTCTATATTTGGCATTGTTTATTCCAGAAATGTATGGACTTCTATGGTCTTCCTGATGGTCTTCCATGCAAGTGAACATAAACTAGACATTCAAAAGCTGTTGTTTTACTGTACATATTATTTACAAAGGATGTCCTACTTTAATTTACTTTACAAGACTCTTGTACAGAGGTCTTTGCTTTTGTAAAACTTACTCTTAGAGTCAAGTGGAATTTCCTAGTGCAGGCCCTTATGGAGACAGCACTAAGTTTATGCTATATGAAATAAATTTTGTAAATGACTGCCTTTAATTGAACATAATACCTTCAATCATTTAATGTGTGAGTAGCAGTTCTGCCAAGGCAAATTTCCAGCAAGCCATTTAAATATCTGAGAGCAGAATGAACAAATCTTTCAGTTCTAGTCTCCTGGAAGCCTCTGCAGCTTTTCTTGTTGAGACGTGTTGTTTATTCAGTTATTTGAATATAACTTGTTCTGATTTTTGTCTTTTTAATTACATGGGTGAAAGCTATCTTTTCTTTATGTGTTTAATTTTCACAACATTAGGATTTATTTAATGCCATGTTCTTTAAAAGTTACAAAATGCAAAACAGTCTTTAAAACCATTAATGCTGTTTTTGGTCGAACTAGAGCTGCTAGGTGTAAGCATTAAATCTAATAGAAAAAAATAGAAACAGTGAAAAATGCAAGCTTGCATTTCCTGTGCCACGTGCTCTAGGTGACCCTGCGTGTGCAGGGGGTTGGACTAGATGATCTCTAGAGGTCCCTTCCAACCTTGAGCATTCTATGATTCTCTGATGTTTCAAGAAATATCACCTCAGAAAACGGGGTGGAACTGGGAAATTCTTACACAGCATTGGAAAAGGCTCTGGAGACGTAGACAGTATCTGATTGAGCTGCTGACTTGGAAATCCCAATCCCTGCCTTTCAGGTTCACCTGTGGATTACTGGCAGCTCCACCACGTTTCTCTGAATGTCACAAGCAAATTTCGGGTTGTGTTTCAAGGCGTGAAAGGAATTGGCTTATCAAATGGAGGCCTCTCGATCGATGACATCAATTTGTCAGAAACAGAGTGTCCTCATCACACCTGGCACATCAGAAATTTTACACATCTCCTCAACACAAGTCCTGAAGGAAGCGCAGGAAAAATATATAGTCCACCTTTCTACTCTCGTGAAGGATATGCTTTTCAGGTCGGCTTGTATGTGAACGGTACTGAAGATAACCCATCTAATTTAGCAATCTACTTGCACTTGATTTCTGGAGCCAACGATGACTGGTTGCAGTGGCCCTGTGCATGGCTGCAAGGTACCATGATTCTGCTGGACCAGCACCCTGACATTCGTCAACGCATGTCCAACCAGAGGAGTGTCACAACAGATCCTCTGCAACAAGTATCAGGTTAGTTAAAAACAGATGTGACTTCCAATATGTAAAACACGGCAAAATAGACACGCAGTCAAATTTTCTGTTTGTGTAAATTAGTGTGCTTTTTAATATTTCTGGGGAATTACACTCACAGCAACAATACAACTGATCTATGGACAAGAAAATAAATGAACCAATAAGTAGGTTTGAACCAATAAGAGCCTGTGATTTGCATTTTAGAGGTAATCTGCATAGGGAACAGGTGGCTCATCCCCCCTAAAATTTATTTCCTGGGCTCTATGAAGGTGCATTTATAAGCACTGTAATGAGAATAAAGGTTCTCCAGAAGTCTTGAAAAATAAAAATACTGAGTTAACAATATACTCAGCTGCTACCAAATAAAAATATAGTTATTAAACAAACTCCCTTGCTCAAGGTAGAGGGAACACTTGTGTCAGTACTAATCTTCACGTGGACAAAGTACTGATTCACATTACATAATCTGCACTTGTTCAAGGTGTGACAAGATAAGGGGCAATTGTCCACAATAACACGGAAAGGGGCAGTTCAGGTAAAGATATAACCCTGGGAACAGGGTAGGAATCTGTGTATTTATTAAAATGAAACCCCACATTCAGCACTGTATGAAGACTGGATCTAGGCTAGAAACACTTGGTGCATTGATAGAAGAGTTTTGCCAAAAGAAACAGACTCTATCACTAAATCAGTTTCCTAAGCTTTCAGACAGTGACATTAAGAGAGGAAGGAAGGCACCAAAATGTCTAAGTCATGGTATTATATGAGTAAAAAAAAAAAAAAAAAGCCTGTGATTTGCAGATTTGCATTCATTTTTCTATGACACTCAGTCTTCAAATAAAAGCAAAGTGTGGGTAAAGTGTAACATGACTAAATGGCCTCCTTGTCAGCGAGAGGTCACATCTCCCACGGAGAGCTGGAGTTCTCCCCATGCTCCGTGCTGCTGTGGCCGCAGTGCTCAGCCCTTTCCCTTCCCTCACACCCTGGACTTTGCACTGTGTTTGCTCTCTGCTCCTTCTCCCTTGTTTATTTTCACTCCCCTGTAGCCCTAGAGTCCCAAGCAGAACCTTCCGACTCTAACCAGGACAGACACTAGAGCAGGCAGTTTCCTCCCCTTGTCTGTGCCAGGGAATATTGCTCCCAATTTCTGGGTTTCACCTAATTTGTCCACTTTTCCATGTTCATGATACCAAGGAGCAAATAAGCAGAGGCAAAGTAGCGCACAGGATTTCTTGGCTGTTGAGAAAAGTCTTAGTTCTACTCTGTAGCAAAGATTATCTATGAAAAGCGGGACTATTAAAAAAATCATGAGTGGCCCCACATTCACGTGCAGTTCATTTTTTCCAGAGTCCACATCAAATTACACTTGGGATCGACCAGATAAAGTGGGATCAACAGCTTATTTCCCCAATGGAACTGCATTCAAGAGAGGTCCAGGAAGTGGAACAAATGCGTTCTTAACTCATCAGAGACTTAGGAGCCGTAACTTTATTAAAGAAGATGGAGTTTTTATTCTTTTAACAATAGAAGGTATGAACACCTTGATGGCAGCCGTTGTTGTTTGTGACACAATAAATACACAGTGTGACACACTTGCTAAGTCACTAGCGCTGTAGATACAAATATACACGATGTATTTATATATGGACAGCCTGAGGAGTCAGTAGGACCTCTCATGATGCTAAAGTCAAATCACATTTTTCTAAATCTGTGCGTTGCCTGAAATGTGAATATCTCCTGTCAAAATCTAACTATGTAGTATGATGCTACTCCTCTATGAAGTATTTTAATATAATATTCTGAAAAAAGTCTATTTCTTAAAAATGTAAATGTCCATTTTCATTATACAGTATGCTCCTGAAAGCTAAAAATGCTAGATATTCATTATACTAGGCGAAGACAATTTAGAATAATTCACAGGTTCTTTTGCTCTTTATTATTCTAATTTACCAATAGGATAAGAGGCATAATAGCAGAGTGAAAACCTTGATATCTTTTTGCTTTTCTCATGCAGATATATCTCATCTACTACCTCTTCAGTCAAGTGTTTCACCCACCTCTGTTGCAAATACTTCCATTGCCGACACCATCGGGTCTACCTCCACCATCACCCCCACCATCACATCTACCATCGCCAAGTCCACCACCACTGCCAAGTCTACGACCACCACCACCGCCAAGTCCACCACCACCTCCACTACCACCAAGTCCTCCACCACCACCACCAAGTCCACTACCACCACCACATCATCTATAACCTCTGTTGTGCTGACCCCAGAGACAGGTATTCTAGAGCGCTGTCCAGACAACCCTTGTGAAAATGACGGCATCTGCATTATTGTAGATAAAGCACCTGCGTGCAGGTAACTGTCTTTATTGCCTCTCAAAAACGATTTGGTGAAAAGTAATGAAAGCTTTTAGTAGAATGAATCTTTGTTCCTAATAAAGGAAAGATAAACTGTAGTTACGTAAGGCAAACATTTCCAACTACTACAACAGGAGACTAAGCTTATGACCAGCCTAGGCAACACAGGAGTTCCTAGACTTGACATTTGACTGTTTTGAAGTATTTTGCTTAGTTGCCTATAAATTATATCTAAAACATTATTTTCGTTTTTTTATTATTATTTTCAGTAATGTATCAATCCAATATTATAAACTGTACTATAGAAATCCCTACGGCCAAAGTTAAAAGATATAAGAGTTAAAAATAAATGCAAGTTAAAGAATTGGCATTTTTATCAGTGGAAAATACTTCATAACATGTCTTAGTCAGAAAATCAACGAAGGCATTAGCTCAGAATTTGATTCAGAAATATCACATAGTGACAATCATCATCGTGAATTACCAAAGTGTTGCTGCTTGTCTTTGAAATGAGTGATGAAGACTGAGAACTAAAAAGATTGTTTGGAGTGCAACAAAACGAATAACAACTTTTATTTAATTCTCTGTGGATTCCCTTATACCTTATAGTATCCTTCCAGCTCTCAGATGAAATCTGAGGCTGAAGAGAGCAACGACGTACAGTGAAGCTGAGCCAAAGCAGGTAGATTGTGGCAGTGTTGCGAGGCAAATGTCTAAAAGCAGAGAGCAAGACTCAGTATGACTCGTTAAGTGCTATAGCTCCCTATTTAGAAACCTTTAAACACAGTTCTGTAAGGGGGCTTCGACTGCCCACTGGAAACAGGTCATAAAAGTGCCAGGAAGCTCTTCCAAGAAGAACAAAATACCATGCAGAACATTATACTTGATTTCAAAGTTATGAAAACAAAATGTTGCTTTCTACTATCTCTGAAGTATTTTGAGCATTAGTGCATATGTGACCCCCCTTTCCTTCATTAAGAAGTTCTGACCTCAGTTTTCTCTCTGATTTCTTATTGGGAAAACTAGATGGGATATGGTATATAACTCCTTGTTTAAATCCGATCACACAAAGTCTCCCAACAGCCTTGCAGTGCACTGCAAATAAATTCATTTTCAGAGTGGAGAATGCAGTTTTGATTAAATGGTGTAGACAGGAACTGTAGAAAAAGAGTAACATAAGGCACAATCAGTGTTAAAAAGATGGAGATAGGTGAGAACTCAGCTGCATGGCACAGTTAGATCCTTGGGGCCATCACTGCTCACTGTGTGATGTTTCCAGGATTAAATGACCTCCAAACATTGATTCCTCCAACGTATCCAGCATTCCTCTCAGCCCGATTAAGGTGGTGGTGTTGGAGTTCTCCCACCTAATGTTCTGTTCAGCAGCTCCTGGTCAGGGATGCTTTGAGAGTTTGGGCTGTGCTCTCCATCCTATTTACCTTAAAGGCTTAATTGTTGCATAAGATGAGCTGAGAATTTAAGAAACTACAATAATAAAAAAACAACAAAACAAACTAACAAAAACACGAGCAAACAGAAGTTTGAATTTTGCTAGAGGATGGTAAATATGAGTTGGCTGGATAACAACAGCAGTGTAAAACTTCTGGACCCGTTCCACTAGGATGTTATTCAACACCTCACCATAAAGGCTTTTTAAAATTGACTGAGTGGAGGAGATAGAAGGACATTGTATAAAAGGCAGAACTGCAGCAGGATAAGAAGGTAATAATACAATCATTCATACAATTAAACACTGCAGGGATAGGGGCTCTAGTGACAGTACCAGCAAAAGGACCCAGGATTTGGGTTCTCCTGCAGGGGGTCCCTATATAGAGACAACCTGTAGACCATGGGGAAGCTGAAAGCAGCAAATCCAGATACTCATCTATAGGGAGAGGGGGTCGCTAAAGACAATTTTGAAGTAGAAGTCCATTTTAAGATAATTCCATGGTGGTTTAGAATATGCAAACAATATGCTGGGGTAAAACAAAACTTCTTCATTCCTTTAACTTTTAATTTATTATTTTATTTTGTAGGTGTCCAGCAGGTGATAATTGGTGGTACATGGGAGAAAAGTGTGAGAGGAAAGGCTCAACTCAACAAAATACTGTAATTGCTGTTTCTTCAACTGTGACTGTATTTGTTGTTATGCTTATTGTCACTATCACAAGCGAGAGTGAGTCTGGCATAGGAATTTAAAAAACTCTATTAAACATAAAACAAAAAAAAGCCAGTCCATTCAAATGTGCCTCCACCATTGTACCTGCCCTGATGGCATCCCAGATTAAAAGGGAGAGTGGGAGCCAAGGTGTTGATTTTCAATTTTTAACTGAGTCTGGGTTTTGCTTAGTGGACTTGCATTTCACCTATTACTCGCACTTTATAGCTCACACCTTAAGACATCTGGGTCATTGCAGAGCAGTAAAAAATAAATCCCACAAAGCAAAACAGAACAAATCCCCAGACCTCAAACAAAAATAGAATCTTAAAACAGTTTCTCTGTTCAATAGCCATTCTTTTGGCAAGGAACAAAGTAGACATAAAAATCAAGGTCTAAGGAGAGGTAGAAGGTAAGAGGTTAAAACTCTTCCAGAGTCTGAGTCAGAAGATAGTGAGTGTAAGATGTATTTTGATAGTTTTTTCATAACAGGCTTTAAAAAGTGTCAGGCATCCAAACTCTTATTTTAAATTCTCTGATTTCCAGTCATCCCTGGAAGAGCAAGAATGTTATAACGTAGAGTCGCAAGAAACGGGAGAGATTTTGTAAATGAGTTGAAAAGCAGCTGCCTTCCATTCCTCTCTACCTGCCTTTTTGTATTTTGTCCTAAAATCGTGTGTGATGCTCTGTTGAGATGCAGTATGTCTGCAATATGTATGTGCATTGCCACATACATAGAACAGTTACTTTTTGTCTTTCCAATAAATTATTTTGGTTTCTTTCCAAGCAATGCTCTCATGTGATACACATATTTCCCTACCACACACACCTGTCTCTCAATATTATTTATTTTTTCTTCCCCATTTAGACACAAACATCCTTCTGAAGATACTGAAAATAAGCAGCAAAGACTCAGGATGGGCATGACTGGAAGACCACAACTGTATCATTATTATTCTTGTTATCATTATCTCAGTCATCATGCTAAAGGTTTGTAAAGTATGCAAAATAAAGCACCATTTGGATAAAATACTGTGCTAAAGCCAGCTATGGGGAAAGGGCTAAAGGTGGGGAAAGGGCTAAAGGTGGGGAAAGAGAAGGTTCAGGGTAGAGCGGACAAGAACAAGCATTGGAAAATGGAGCCCACGAATGGAGAGATCAGTGTGGAAAATAAGTCTGGGGGCCAGCAAGTGGAGATGAAGCTGCAGGTAGGTCTCAGAACCTGCAACCAGAGCAGCTGGGGTGCAGAAGTCTGTTGATGAATATCTGGAAGAACTGTGGGCCATGGGGCTTGCAGGTCAAGTGCCTGGAGGTGCTGGGGTGTGTGTTTGTATGTGTGTTGGAAGGTCTAGGTACCAGCAACTGCAGAAGATACCACGGGTCACAGGGCTTTAGGTCTATTTGCCAGCAACTGGAGAGACCTGGGTGTGCTTATATTCCCCCAGTGAATGTAATTCTCTGTCTGCATAAGTGTACTTGGAAACTCCAAGCTAGACTAGCTGTGAGCTGGAGGAGACACACCTGGAAAGATTCAAGGTCTGACCCCATGGCCAGGTAGGGGCCCTAGGGTCTGGGCATGGCTATGAGGTGGCCTGAGAGCCCACGGTGATAGCCAAGGGCTCTGTGATTGGAGAAGCGCTGTGAAATGAATGTGTCAGCGTGTGCATCCTTCTCCTTAGCAATCCAGAAGGTCAGAGCACACAAGGCTGGGCTCCAGAGGCCAGGAAGGACGAATCTTCCTAAGGTTCAGGGCTCCACTGGTTTCATGGGCTTCCTTGACATCCTTAACTAAGGCTGTAATCCAGTGGGATGTTGAGAATGGGTGAGACGTGGAGCTAGAAGTGCAAGAGGTCCTCTGAGCCTGCAAATATACGGCAATTTGATGAAGGAACCAAGTTTCCTCTGAATGCACAACTGTGTGTGGTTCTGCACTGACATCACATATGTAGCACTCCATTGGTTTATATTCTCTGAAATGTAGTTAATATATTTAAAACATTCATAGCTCATTTTATCGGCTTTTGTTGGAACCCAGAGATTTGTGAAAATAGACAAAATTACTGTTTTTTTTTTTCAAAGCTGACAGACATCCTGGATAGAAAGATACACTATGATAGCTGTCTTAAAATAACTTCCCTATTTTGACATGTCTTCATCAGTGGTTTTCATGCAAATAATCCTCCAAATACTCTATTAAGATATGCACATAGATTTACATGGAGTTAAGAAGAGATAAATGAGACCATTTCATGAACTTGAATCTGGCTAAAATGTTTAGGAATTATAAACAGTGAACATTTCATAATTTCCAGTGTTAACTATTTGTGACTGTAGAGACTTTTATACTTTCTGGAATCCTGATTGCATGAACAGAAATGTAAATGCTACCTGAAGTCTAAATTCTCTTGTGCTGTCATTAAGAGAAAGCTTAATATGCAGAACGATATATTTCAACATACTTTCCAAGATACCAAGTCCATAGGGTATCCCAAAACGGAAAATTTCCATGGAAAAACGTAAGTCTATGCTTACTCATCTCAAACTGGAATCAGTGAAGAGCTCCTCAAAATGAACTGCACGGTCCTTCCTTATAAGAACAATTCACTTTGCAGTGATGTGCAGATTCCCCAGAGCTAAAAGGTTTTATTAATATCAGGAACCGATCTGGTCATTTAATAAGACTCCTATTTCTTTCATTAAAAACATCTACAAATATTCAAGAGGAATGCTAGTTTCAATTTTAAATACAGAAAAATCACTCAAGAAGTGCTATGGCAGGTTTTAGAGTGCATTTTATTGTACATCACAAATGCAACACTACCAGCTCAAATTCCTGAGCAAACAAGGTCGTCCCAAAAAGCCGTAGCCCAACTGGCTTAGAGCAACTGGTATTATTCTGTCAAGGAATGTAGTGAGGGATTAAAAATACATAGGTGGTTTGGAAAATGAAGCATTGTGTTTCTGGAGTTTTCTTCCTGAGCTGATGCTTTGCTTGGATTCCTGATGTAACACCTCAGTAATGGTCACCTCCTGTAAAAATAACACTGAAAATTCCCATAAAGCGCCCATCTGGAGCTGGCTACCAGGCATTGAGAAGATTTTTCCGACATGGTTGTGAGGGCTGAGCCTATTATTTTTAGTGAAATAGCTTAAATTGGGCGACATAGACTTGAAACATTAGAGGTAGCTTCTCATCACATCCAGCTACCACAACAGGCTGTCTAAAAGCCATGCAGAAGGTCGTAGTCCTATTTAAGAGACTGGCTGGTTGCTTTTCTTTCCTAAATTAGATTTATTTGCAGAAAACTTTAATAAAAACCTTTATTGAAAGCATCTGTATGTGAAATCTCTGAGATACTAAGATGATACTAAATCCCAGCAGTGTTAAACCTGCCCCCAACTGCCTCCTCTTTTCCACCCCTCTCCCAACTGTAGTGATTTAAGTTAGATGCTGCAACACAGATTTCTGTTTAGGTCTATTTCTGTGACTCTATCAGGAGTTACAGCATGGAGTTAACCCTCCTAAAAAAAAAACAAACAATCAAGAAATGACTCAGATTTGAAAGGAAAAACAGTAGGTTTTTCTCTTATCTCTTTCTCTCTTTGTTTCCAAGGATCTCAGTATTGCAGATATGTCTTCTAGATGTGCCGTTAAATGTCCCTGCTATACAGTAGACACAGCTTCATCCTGCTCATACAGGCACACAATTTCACTGCTATTTGCATCACGCAGAACAACTTTGTTGTCCATCATCTGTTGCACAAGGAGTGAAGAACCAAATCATGTCTAATATGCAGTCTGGCAATTCTCAGTTTAAATGCAGAAAAGGGATTGATCTTATTTTGGTTTGATTGATGGCTATTTTGTTTCAGCTAAATGTTTCGGGTGTCTAGTATTACAGATACCAGGTAATATAGTTCCAGGGTGCAACGCAGGACTCACAAATTGCCATTTTTTAGGTGCAAAGAGTCTGTGAGGTCAGAACAGAGAAGCCCAACTTGTTTTCCTAATATCTCCTATTTTCCACTACTAGAGAACAGGCACTTTGCTAAGACACAGATACCACATGTCTGATGGCAACACTTCATTCAAAGCAGATTTGGTTTCTCTTAAACAGTCCCTTACTTTTGTTGTCCACTTGGAATGCTCTTTCAGGCTGTTTTTAGTGCCAGGAGGGCAGACAGCCCAAAGCAGAAGACAACCACCAAGGTAACGAAATGTTGCACGTTGAGGCTGCGTGCAGTCAATTGTTGTTTCTCAAATTTAAAGTTGGAGCTTAAAGACTTCCATAGTTTTTGATGCAGTAATGGCAAAACATTTTTATTTTACCCTGATTGCATTATGAACTTATGAAGAAATTAAATCCAGAGTGCTGATTTGCCCACTTCTTTCAGCTACATGTCTACTAGCTTATTACAAAAAGTGTATCTAAAGCCAAATTTCAACATTTTTTTTTGTGAAAGAAAATTACAGATTCTTTTGATAAATCATGATAAATGATAAATCATCTGCTATCCTTGTCTGTTCTTCTTTCTGATCACCAACAGAATGAACTGATTAAAAATGAAAATTACAACAGCAGTTCAGACTGATCAGCCCTCCCACACCACAAAATAGGAATTTGCTGGATTACAAAGAAGAGTGTCACTGGGTTACTCCTGAATCAGTTTATTTTGCATCAAATGTCTTCAAAACCATTGTCTACTTTCTTTTTTTTGTTCTTTGCTTGTTTCTGTATTTCTTTCACAAAATGCATGAAAAAATCTTGAACCATTTCATTTGTTTTTCAAGCCAAAGTTAATTACAAGCACACTAGGGCACATATCATACACGCTGCAAACAGATTTCCATTCCAGTTTTCATTTGCTCATAAATCCTTAAACTCCTTCTATTTGAGGTGAAACAGCCCCTTTGACTTGGCCTGTTGTGAAAACAGAACAATGTCAAAGAAGTTTAACTTGAATAGCTGGAACCTAAAAGAACAAAATCAAACCTTGCTGTTTCCCTAGTTCGCAGTGCTGACTCACCCAGCACATACAT